CTTAGCATTTAAACTTGTTTATTTTGTATCTTTAGACAATTTATTACTAACAGCCTGTCAAGAAAACTCATGATTTGTTCTCATTTATTTAAATGAATCCATGAATAATTCCAAAGATAACACAGTTATAAACATAAAATAGTATTTCTGCACCAATAAGGTGAAAATCAATGGCAACAGGTCTTAGGATCAAATCATCATCTGTGGAGGCTCTGTCATGTTTTGGGGCTGCATTTCAGCCAGTGGTGTTAGCGATCTTGTCAAAATCAATGGACTCATAAATGTAGAAAAGTACCATTAGATGTCGATCCACCAGAGTACCATCTGAAAGCATCTGATTAGCCACAGCTTCATTTTTCAGCCACATAATGACCTCAAACCCATGACCAATGCAGTTAAAGCATGGATAGAACACACAGTGGAAACACTATCAGTTATGGAGCCTGGACCTCAGCATTGTTGAAGCAGTGTGGGATCATCTTGGCAGAAAACGGGACAAAAAGCAGCCAACATCCAAAGAAGAGCTTTGAATATCCTTCAAGAGGCCCAGAGAACTATTCCTGAAGACTAAAGAACATGTTTCGATAAATCACTGCACCTATTGTCCATTTTCCTAGAAAAATATATGGAAATGAGGAGTGGCTCAAGGTATGTACTGTAGTACTCTAAGTACAGTAAATGTAAATGTAAACAAATAGTGTTTTACAATCACTGAAGTGTTTTAATTTTTTTCTTCCCCAAAGTTTCTTGTTTGCTGTGTTCAGACTTGATGTGGTGTTGAATATGTGATTATTGCAGCCATCACACTGATGCATGCCCAACAAGTGCCGTCTGCTTTAAAATTCATAATAGAGTTCCGGCATTGTATCATAAAAAAGATTTGCACATAATCAAATAAACAATCATGAGGCAAACACAGCTATTTCTAGTACACCACCATTAGTAAGAGTGTGTATTAATATTTATAGTCTGCTTCACACTATTACATTTGCATGGCAATCTAGTTTCTAAAAATGGATAAAGGACATTTCTTCTAGATTTACAAAGCAGCAGTTGGAGCGATCTCATTACTGTGATAATGTTTACACACACTGTTTAAAACCTTCACTGTAACTCATTCTCAGAGGTTATTTCTTATTATGTGTTTTTATTTTTTGAGCTCTGGTTCATAAAAAATGACTCAGAATATAAACTAGGCATATAAATATCTTAAAGGTTATTAAACATTACACGCGTCTCTTCGGGGTGTTTGTTTTCCACACAGACATTTATGCACTGCATCTTTTTGTCAGCGTGTACCTATAGTACAGTATGTCAGACAGGGTATGAGTTAGAGATGCTGCTTCTGTATGTGAGGGAGACAAAAACAAACAAACAAAAAAAAAAAACAAGCACAGCAAAGAGGAAGCGAGAGCAGCAGAGAGATCAAAGACTGTGCTGGAGCCAGACTCTGTATCAAAAATGAGGTTGGAAGGCTCTCTCTCCTGTCTCCATCCAGTTCTCCCTGATCACGGACCCTGAGGAGAATAAACTCAATCCATGTTAAATTATAGATTAAGGCCCGGGTCTGGCTATGGCTGGCTTGGCAGCTGGCGGCTGAATACGCATCAAGCTGTACTGGGTTTTATACATTACTTCTGCTTCTACTGTTGCCTCACCTATTAAAATCAACATCAAACACTCTCCACAGACCAATAAGAGGATTTAACAGAGGCTGTATGAATATGTAAAGAATCTCTATACAATGTTTTCTCCATGATGCCAAGCTTCTGTTTTGAGGCTTTGCGGATGATTCAACCTTTATCGTTACTTTTCAGTGTTTTTCTCATTGGCAGTCTTTCATGTCACTTTGCTCTTTTACCTGAGACAATTTTGAAAGTGCAAGTTTGTCTTTTCTTATGTGCTGTCAAATATAAAAAGGTAAAAAGAGATATTGTTGCTCTCCATGTTGTTCTTCAGTATTCCAAAGAGACAGGGAAATCTCAAAGCCACTGCGTATCATAAATACAGATGTGGTCTATTTCAGTCACATAGGCTCTATTAATATCCATACGCACAAGAAAATCAAACAAAAACGCTTTACTCTTATTCTACTTTTTATGAAAAACATAAGAAATAAATGGAACTTGAAATTAGAAGCATTAAATTCCAAGTTTAATGACATTCAGGTAGCAGATGTGGACAGATGTTGTTTTGTTATCTGTGATGCTGCAGATATGCACAAGCAATGTGTTTGGTCTTTATCAACAGTGAGAGAAGCCACACCTACAGTCATGTGAAAAACAAAGTGTTAACAGGCCTGTATGGAGCCATGTGAAAAACTACATCCACGCTGATTTTCCATAAAAATTAAGAGCTTATATAGCAGAAAACTGTTTCTTATCAAATGCAAAAACAGAAGTTTGGCAGTTTGCTGGTCTGGACAAATTAGATGTGTGTTAACACAATCTTCACAACACAAGGAATGGATGTCACAGCAAATTCACCATGAAGTCAGACTGTGCAGTGCTGCGAGAAACTGCAAAAAACCTCAGGGTCTACAGACCTCAGTTAGCGTCTGAAATGTTAAATTCCTAACAATACAATACTCAGAGAACGCAGCCCATCAGCCTGTTATGGCATCCTTGTGATTCCATAGGATGTCTTATTGAAAAAATAAAACTAGTGTTGTAAAGCTTTCCCCGTGCCCTTTCATTTGATATGTTACTCGATATTGTTTGTTAAAAAAAATTTCAAGGTCAACTTTGACACTGGACGCTAACAGCGACTGTCAAGGTCAAATGCTTAGCCAACCTAGGTACTTAGTACCTAAGGCCTGGTATATTGTTGTAAAGTTTGAAGATGATCCAAACCCAAACTGTGAGTTTTTACTTCAAGTTATTGTTGCTAAAACTGTTCCTACAAGCTAATGAATCATGGGGACTGCATGTTTAATTGACTCATAATCTTCCAGAACTCAGCTGCCTCAGTGTGCTTCAATGAAAGAGTGCATCAGCGTCATCCTTGGCCACATATGAAAGCACAGTGCATTGTCACATTAGGCATATTGTGAATATCATTTACAGTGGAGAATGTACTTGATGGATTATCATATTTATTCATGTATTTTATTTTATTTTTTTGCCAATAGCCTTACAACAGTAACAATACATTCACATCATGGTGCTACTTCCTCCTTCTGAATGTCAGTAAACTTCACAATTGTCAGACGGTCTGATATAAAGAAGCAGCTACTGTAATTTTAAACAATAGCTATGACATAACTCTGGTTACATAAACACCAAACAAACAGTTTTCATGCCACAGAGTTTTATTCACAAAACCAGATGGAGACACATTTAAAACTTGCCTCTCCCTTTTGTCTGAAGTGAAACGCCGTCCTGTCTTCTCTAAGAATTTATTTTAGGGAATAATTATAAATATAGAGCCCGGTGTATGAAAAATAATGAATGTATCATTTTGGTACAGTTTGTGATCTAAAATAGAAATCTGTATCTGTTCCCGACAACAGTAGTGCAGCAGCAACATTTCGTATTTCCATTATAATACTTTCATGCAAAACAAATCTCATTGGGCAGTCAAAGGCATCGAGATAATGTCCAGCGTCAATATTAAATATGATGCATGCAGTTTCAACATAATCACCATGCATCAGCAAATAAATGAAAGCATAGTGTAAAGTGCCATGAAAAAGTATTTGCCCCATTCCTGATTTCTTAGTTTTAGTATTCCTCAGACTTAAATGTTTCAAACCATCAAACAAATTTTGATATTATAATATTAGGAAAAGATAACCAGAGTAAATACAAAATGCAGTTTAAAAATAATGATTTCATTTACTAAGGGTACAAAAGCCATCCGTACCTACACAGCCGTATTTGAAAAATTAATTGTCTCCTAAGCAAAGTAGCTGTTTGTGCCACCCTTGGCAGCAGGACTTGAATTTAAGCATTTGTGATAGCTAGCAATGAGTCTTTCACATTGCTATAAAGGAATTCTGGCCCACTCTTCTTTGCAGAATAGTTTTTATTCAGACAGATTGTAGAGTTAGGATGCATGAAGAAAGCATCTCAATTAGATTTCAATTTATTTATTTTTTTTGGAGCCATTGGACTTGCTGGCGTGTTTTGGATCACTGTCCTGCATTGTCTTTAGAGCACAAACTGATGGCTGGACATTCTCCTCCGGGGTTTACCAGAAGAATTCATGGTTCAGTCGGTTACAGCAAGTCGTCCAGGTCCTGAAGCAGAAAGCACCTCTGGACCATCACACTACCACCACCATGTTTGACTGTTGGCGTGATGTTCTTTTCCTGAAATGATGGTTAGTTTTATGTCAGGTGTAATGGGACTTAAAACTTTTAAAAAAGTTCAACTTTTGCTTCATCAGTCCACAGAGTTTTGACAAATGTGAGCTCAGCTATGTCCTCTTCCTGGTCAGCAGTGGTTTTCTCCTTGGAGTTCTCCCATGGATGTCATTTTTGTTTAGTTTCTTTCTTATTGTTGAATAATGAACTCTGACCTGAAGTGAGGCAAGTGAGGCCTGCGGTTCTTTAGTTGCAGTTCTGGGTTCTTTGGTGACCTCCAGGATGTGATCGAGCTCTCTTGGAGTAATTTTGTTAGGAAGGTTCACCACTGTTCCAAGTTTTCTCCATTTGTGGATAGTGCTGTCCTTACCGCTGTGGTTCACTGGAGTCCTAAAGCTTTAGAAATGGCTTTGTAACCCTTTCCAGACTGATAGATGTCAGTGACTTTGTTTCTTAGCTGTTGCTTTTTGAGGTCTTTTAACCCAGCGGTCCCCAACCCCCGGGCCTCGGACCGGTACCGGTCCGCGAGAGTAGAGGCTCAGGTGTGAAATGTATGGTTTTCAGGGTTTTTATAGGTTTTCAGCGTTATTTTGTTATCGTTTTTATCGTTTACTCGGTTTTCCTGCGTCTTTTCACGTCTGTTATGAATAAATCTTCTTTTTTTTGGTACCGGTACTAGTTTTATTTTGTTGTATTTATCCGCGACACCTTAAAGGCCTGTCCGTGAAAATATTGTCAGGCATAAACCGGTCCGTGGCGCAAAAAAGGTTGGGGACCGCTGTTTTAACCTACTTCACTTTGTCAAATAGGTTCCATTTAAGTGATTCCTTGATTCACCAGGTCTGGTAGTAATCAGTTCTGGGTTTAGCTCATGAAACTGAACTCAGTTTTTTTCTTTTATATGAAAACGCGGTTAATCAAATTATTTTCATGATTTTCATTTTCCTCATTTTCAATGAGGTAAGCCATGACTTCACATAGATTAGGTTTGGCTAGCTTTTTTCCTTAATAAATGAAGTCATCATTTAGCATTTCTTTGATTATCTGAAGCATGTAAGTGTGACAAAAAGACATAAAGCTTAGAAATCAGTAAGGGGGAAAATACTTTTCATGGCACTGTATATACTGTATGTACACAATCTGCTTTATGAAACTTCCAGTTGGATATTTTTCCATATTTTATATGTACAACACCGAAATCTTGTAAAGGCCATAGTACGGGCACTGAGAAGTCTTCTTTTTTAGCGAGAGTAAGACAAACTCATCCCACTGTGTGTAGTTTAAAGACAGTAAACAATAAAATTAGTAGCTTACAGTTGGGGTACATGTAAAGAGAAAGTAGATCTAACACTGAACTGAACACATGGACATGGACTTACTAGGCATTCATGTATTTTTCTCAATCAAGTGAGCATTCATTAAACATTTTATGAGTCTGGAAATTAAACTATCCCGCTGCAATAAATTATTTTAAGACCCATTAAATAACTACCTAACCATGATATAACACAGACTCACACAGAGACAGAGACACGCGCATACAACAAGCCAGCAGACTTAAAATTTTAACCCTGACCTCTTGACGCATATCTGCCTGTTTTCCCCCAGAAAATACACGTATTGCACACAACAAGCGGCTGGCCAAACAGTTCAATTAACCCACAAATACTGAAAATTACACCATATAGCCAAAGACTTGCAACTGAGGTACCACAGCCTTATCCAGAACACAATCATGCTCCAGTAAACATTCCTAATGGCAATTTATATGATTTGTCACAGTGATTCTTTTTTGTTTTGTAAAGGCATTCCAATAGTTTTGGGATTTCTAACACAGTTCCCATTAAAAATATTATAATATTAAGAGACCTTATTTGGTTTCTTATTCATCCTTCATTCTTATTCAATTCTCATTCATCCCATGACAGGCTCTCAGATACATAGGTCTGAGGGAGTCTGACCAGTAGGGATAAAGCTCAGTCCTGAGTTTAACGTAGTGCTTGGGACACCTAGCAGATGAAAGCTGCATTTCATTTACCAATAGTGTTTAGTGCATTTCTCATCAAATCAGAGGACATTTGAATGTTTTCAACTTAATGCAAAGCTTGCCAAACACTTAGCTTATTTTACTTCTTTCCTGCAGATGCTATGTTTCCACCTCCTTGTTTTCTCTGCATCTTTGATCCTAACTGCACTTTGACCCAAACAGTGAGTTTTCGGCTGGCTTCACAGTTTCTCTAGACTCTAGGTTTTCATTGTTTTCTCCATCTTCTTCACCTGACTCGGTGTTCTGACCTGATTCTGTACTCTGATTAGACACCGAAGCTCTGCATGTCTGCTGATAGGATGAGCAGAGATCCTGCCATTTCTTTCGATTGGCATCGATGCCATCCATCATTGGCTGTAACTTTCTGTTGAGTTTCAGCAGTGCCTGGAGAGAAAGAATGATATTAATAGTTTAATTACTATTACCTTTTCATAGGACCTAAATGCTTAACTTAAATCATAAAGGGTTGTCTGACCTGGTAAAGAGGTTTACAGATCCCATCAATCCATTCAAGTTGTAAGGCAGGTAGTTCATCTTTGCGATTGCGGTCAAAGATTGCCTAGAGAGAGATCTAGTTATACTAAGAAAATTGTGGAAAATTGTGTGACTGACTTTTAAAGCTTCCTTACTTACTGCTGGGATTAACTTAAGCTCTGACCTCTCCCTATCACCTTGTTCGAAGAATTCACTTGTAACCAGCTCTGCAACCTGTGGACATCGAGGGAAACAAATTAGTTAACTCTAAAAATGATGTACCAGTTTGCTGTTAATGATGGCTTAAACGTACTTTGCTATTTTGTCCTTATTTTAATTTAAATTAAATGAGAAGAACAATTATCTTTCTATTAGTATGGTACTATTATGGGTCATGCTAACACATCACCTGCATTATTTTAGAAAAAAAAAACACATGCACCAGACTGTAAACTAAGCTTTCGAAATATAATTTGGTTGTGTATAAAAAAAATCAAATGAGTGTTTGTGTCCAAGTAAAATTAAGTAAAAGGATTAGTGAGCTAATTTAATTTAATGAGAAAGCTCTAGGAAACGTGCATCCTTGACCTAGATAGAGCAACTGTATGGGTCAAGGATGCAAAAAAAGCTTTTTAAATGGCCTTTAGGAAGTGCCCTTATGCTCTTTTTGGAAAAGTCCCAAAGAAACTGAAGCGATGTTTGTGGCACTACCTTAGATGGATTTTTTAATCTAATCTATCCTCCAGTGTCCTGTACCTGTAACATATTCATGACATGGATATATTATAAGAATCCTCTTAATATAGCCATGGCTCAGGGCCACTAGGAAGCAAGTTCATATTCCGGAGTGCATGGAAAAGACCTTCTTTGGTTGTATTCCAATTATGTACTTCTTAACATATATTGAAAAAAAAAAGATGTATCACAATAAGGATTATTATAAATGCAGCTTCTAACAATATCACAATGCCCTGGTGTATAAGGTCATGTACACAACCTAGCATCCTTTCGGACCCATACATAGCAAGAGCAGCTGCGTTAATAATTACTATCAGTGATTAAAACATTAGCAGCCTGGATGGAGGGATAGTGAAAGGCTCAAACCTGTTTAGATATCTTCCAGGGACGAGTGACTGCACCCAGATCACATGCTGTCATCAACATAGACCTGTTGATGACATTAAAGCTCATTTCCATCTCTTTTTTTAAAAATTCAGTTATAGTTTGTGTTATTTTGATTTATTTGTATATAAATGGAGAAACCTAAGAACTTCTCTGTGTCCTTCATCAGTCCAGCTGAACTCTCCAGACAGAACATATTCAAAAAACTTGGTTCTGCGCCTTGCAATTAAGGGAGATAATCAAGGACAGGAAAAAAAAGTTGAAGCACAATTTGTTCTCCCCCCCAACTTGGTAACCACCCAACTGGAAGAGCTTTGCAATGACAAAAAATGTGAAAGTTATTGTTCAGAATATGGTAATACATCCAATAATTTATAATGATGTATGTAAGTTTACAAGTCACAAACTATTTTGGCCTTGAATGCCGTGAGGGAAAAAAAACAACACTTACTCAAAGTGCAAAGTAAGGTCTGTGGAGAGAATAGCCTGCTTCAATAGTTGCATCATGTTGCTGTACTCTTTAGAGCTTAGGTTTGCAAAGATATTGTGACCCTGTGAAATAAAAACACAAAAGCATGCAATACAGTAGGTACACACGCAAAAGCAGACGAGGATGAGTAATAGTGGCTAAAATGTCTCCTTAAATCCAATGCACCGGTAAAGTCATTGCTCACTGTCAAAAGAAGCTCCCTTTAGAAATGTTAATTAGCAGCGTGTTTGGACTTTCTCTGTGCGCTGCTAAAAGAAATCGATAAAAAACACGGATCCCAATGATCAAACTGATTTTCACCTGAGACAAAGCAGCCTCTCGACTTTACTCGAACTCTTTAAACAGTGGCTTTCTGTTAGCCTAATGGTCTCAGTCCAACACTTTTAAATTGAATGCAGTCTGTGCATTTGTGTTTTCTGTTATTTTGAATGTGTTTTCTTGCTGAGCTGATGTTTAGTTTAATCTAAAGGGACAGAAATTACAGACTAGCCTCAGGCTATAGCATGTATTACTGATCCACAATTGAGCTGATTAAATAACATTTCAAAAATACACAGATGTCTGTCCTTGATTTTTTTTGACTCTGGTATTTTCGTTTCATATTCAAACTGCTATCTATAAGAAAATAAAGAAAAAAATATTAATTTATCTAACTGACACCATATGACGTTATTTATTCAAATGAATCATCAAGATTTCATTAAGGATTAAGTAAATATTATTTTCTTTTATCAGCTGGAAGTTACAGAACCTTGAACAAGGAAAGCAAACTACTAAGATAAAAAAAGAAACCTCTGCAAAAACATAAGAATTACATGGACTTTATCAAAAAATATAAAAATATTAGCCTGACCTCACTTTGCAGGATCATAACTGCATGGTTGAAGTGATGATGCTCCAGGGTGGCTGATGTCCCGTAAAGCAGGGCCAGAGCAGAACCTGTCCTGCAGGAACAACAGAGTAGTTACACTTCTCTGCATCAACAAGACACCATTTCCAAAATCCACAGGCCTGTGTGGCGTACTTAGCTTGAAATGCATTGTTGGTGCCTCTGTGGTCTAAGTCATGGCACAAACAGCCAACCATCAGTGCCAATATCTCTGCATCTGACAGAACATCCTGGAAACTTGCTGTCTACACAATGCAAAGCAGATGGCCACATTCTTACCAAGTAATTTTAAATCTATTCTGTTTCATTTGTTTTTACTAAATATTTAATGTACTTTTATAGGATATTTTGCATCAGTTAGGATAGGATAGGACATAGAAGCAACCCTAAGCAATAAGAGACCAAATCAACCACCATATGACTTCTTAGAAATACCTTGGATATACCTCTTAGAAATTTTTATATAGTTTATTCCATAGATCTATCTATTTGTGGGCATGCAAAACAACTTTACATCATTGCTTTCTTTAAAGATATACATCTGACTTTTTTTGCTCTATGTTAAAATTTACCGTGATCATAACGAACATGCACTGCGACACATTGAAAGCATGCCTCCAGTTATGGTATGCCACAGTTCGATAGTTCTTCCTCACAGTCAGAAGCCAGCGGCACAAAACCTACAGACAGATATACAGAAGGTATGAATATGTTTATGTATGGATGGATAAACATGCATATTACAAGGCACATTTCATGGCCTTACCTCATAGTCAATTTTAAACTTTTGGACAACACCAAGTTCCAGAAACATCCTGAGAGAAGCCGTGATCATGGCGTCGTTGTCCAATGAAAAGTCGTTGAAGTGAAACTCATCAATGCCTAACTCACTGCTCAGGGGGATCTTGGCAGCCTTAGGGGGAGAGGACAGTGCTGTCAGTCACAGAGTGCCACTGAAGGATGACAGCATAGGCAAACAGCCTTCCAGTTTACGTTGCACCTTTATCTACTGACACATTTCACTATTTTCCTGACGTTGGTATAGTGCCTTTATGCATTATATAATGTTTTTATTTGATTAGTTCTGAGGATTACCTTCAGTCTGTCAACTTCCACCTTGGAGCAGGTAGCGTGATAGGACAACATCTGAAAAACAGAAAATAATGCAAAACACTGACATATTTAAAAAAAAAACCTGTCCCAGATAGTGAGGTGATGTCATGAGGGGATGGCCTAAATAACATAAGACTAGCTCTCTAATGTACACTCACCGCTAAACAAGATAATTAATATTTACCAAGAGTGTTGATGTTTTTTAATCCGTGTTCACCGTCCTATGTAATCAGATCAAAGTAAATATGTATCTGCTTTTAAAGCCAATTTGTTGCTATATTTTGGCTTCTCTACAGAAATACAGCTGTGTTTGTTATACAGCTGTGTTTGCTGTCCTTGATGAAAACTGAGCAGACCTGCACGTGTATTTATCATTAATAATTTAAAAGCAACTAAAATATTTTTGGTAGAGAAGAGGAATTGTGTTTTCTGAGGATAATGTGACTGCTCAGGTTAGATACTGGGCACTAGAACAGAAGGCAGACTGAGACACCAATGAATGTAAAGAGCCTCTGCTAAGATTAGCAGTAACAGTGGTGACACAGCATTTTTCTGGAATCGATAATTTCTCATACAGGTAGTTTGAATTCAAACTCCTAAAATATGTTTTCATTTCAGAGTAGTGTCACTGAAAATTAATTTTTTCCCCGTATATACCACATATTTCTAATACTGCTCCCAAATTGCTTAGTAATTTGTAATATCTTACAGTTTTGGAATTGTAAGATTTAGCATTTTTTGTACATATAAAACATTAAGTTTATTGAAGTTTGCTTTTTTCCCACAATAAATATAGAGCCATTTATGAATAAGAGTTTATTGGATTATTGCTACAGCTTATATTGTTATTGATACCATTGACCATAGTATTTTACTGCAGAGATCAGAACACACTGGAAGTATTAAAGGAATCCAGCTCTGCAATAGTGCGACTCTATCTGATAGATTCCAATTTGTGTGTGTAAATGGGGAGTTACACATAAAAGTTAGTCATGGAGCTCCACAGCGTTGCATGCTGGTATCAATACTTTTAATATTTTACATGCTTCCCTTAGGCTGTATAATTAGAAGAAATTACAGATATTTCCATTGCTATGCAGATGACACTCAGCTTTATTTACTCATTCACACTGTCCTGTATCTCTAAAATTAGCAATATTATGTTTCAAAGTGATGCTGAAAAGCTAGTTCATGCATTTATCTAATACTTTTACTCTTGTAAATCATTATTTTCAGGGCACTCTAAAAGCTCCCTGAAAAACCTTCAGTTGATCCAAAATGCTGAAACAAGAGTACCGACAGGGACCAGAAAGAGAGATCATATATCTCCAATATTAGTTTCTCTTCACTGGCTCACTGTTAAATTTAAAATAGAATTAAAAATAAATTTCCTTACATACAAAGTAATCAGGTAAAGGCTGCTGGCCTACTTTTTATTTGTAGAGTTTCTAAAAGTAGAACGGTAGGCAGAACCTTCAGCTTTCAGGCTCCCTTTTTCCTTCGTACTCTTATAAAATGCTTCCTTATTTAGGGTTGTGTGATTGATGGGGTTTTCTTTCTAATTTTGTTGGGTCTTTACTCCTACTTTGATGCAACTGTAGTTGTTAACTTGTACTATATAAATAAAATTGATTTGAATTGATATCAGATTATACTAGCCATTTGATAGACTGGTAACTTGTGTAAACTATCACTCTCCTGTGTCAACTAGAAAGGCCTCAGCTCCTCTGCAACCCTAGTTAGAGAACTGGTTAAGAAAATGGATGGATGGATTACATGGAATCATCAAAACATAAAAGAAAACGTAAAGTAAAGCGCTGTACAAATACAGGCCATTTACCATAAAAGAAAACTGGCACATGACAAAAAAGAAGAAATTATTGTATAGAAAAAGATACATAAATATATTTTATCCTCCAGAGAGACATAGTGTGATGGATAGAAGAACAGGCTTACATCCAGTGCTACAGACTGTTTAGCCCATGTCTTCTTAACTTGATTGTACATCATTGTGTTGTTGATTCCAAGGCCACAGAATATCACAAATGCCTGCACACAAACGATAGGCCAGAGGAAAAATATGAAACATGAAAAGAACCTGCGGATCTAGAGTGTCACAGTGCAGACCAAACAGAAGGTTGCTAGTGTAGCTTAACCTCAAATAGCCTCTGATCTGCATCATCGAAGGTCTTCCTGTCCAGGCGGTTCAGAATTTGTGCAACCCCTGTGGAAAATATACATAAATCATGACTATAACATGAGGACTCGTTTCCAGTGAAACAAAACTGATTATTTTCTGGTTCACTTACCAATTATCTGATGAGTTCGATTCCAGATAGGAACACATAACACTGATCTGATATGAAACCCTGAAGCTTGATCTGCCTGCAAAGAGAGAAGCCATTTTTTTACTTTTTTTTGGGGGGGTGGGGGGGTGGACTGATATTCTTGCAGTGATAACAACGGTGCAAATGGCTCATATTATCTGACTGTTTTTTAAATAAAAGCCTCAGATCTGATAAATACACTACACTGTGCATACCTCAGCATCAAAGCGTGGGTCCTGGCACACATCACTGATGTTAACAGGCAGTCCTGTTGAAGCCACCAGCTCAGCAATACTGTTATTGATTAGCCAGTCAGAACAGGATAACTTCTCCATGCTGATGTGGGCACTATTACAAAGAGGAAGCAACAGTCATGTGCAAACATTAATATACAGAAACACTGACTACAAATTTTATCACAGTGAAATGCAAGTCTTCTTTTAATGTTAGTCATATTTGTGTTTATTGTAATTCTGCAGTAGTGATCTATGAGCAAAATCTCTTTAACCTGATGTCACGGTCCACATTGCACAAAGGAGACATGAGTTCAAATGTCTTTGAGAACTTCACAACCTATGAGAAAAATCATATATCACTGCAATCAGAAATAAAGTCATTCAGCAAATTAAAAAAAAGGTTATAATGACTTTGGTTTAGTTATACGCTGAAAATCAAGCAGCAGATGAATCTGTGAGGAAATGGGGGGGGGGGAAAGGTCTCACAGGTGAGTCAATGTCCTCCAGAAGGAGCACAGAGCAACGTTCACACTGCAGCAGAGTCAGCGCTCGCTGCATGATCTTCCTGACAATCTTTTCCAGGTCGGTCTGTTCCTCAAACAGGTCATTGACCACCTCCAGCAAAGCCTGTGGCAGCAACAATAAACACTGTAACTTCATTTGTTCATTACACAAACATATTTCCACATTCCTGATAGAATATCATGCTGCTGAAGTTAATGTAAGCCTAACTTGTGAAAGGCAAGCATACATGTTAATGTGTTTTGGAGTGATTATTGTGTTCAGTTATGTTTTTGTAAATGCACAGTTTAAAACTTCTCACCCTGCTCCTTTCATACTCCTTGCGAGACTCTGAAAACAACTTCGCATTGGAAATCGATATTCCACAGAATGGTAGATACATCTGCAGCACCTGAATGAAAGCACAAAAAAGGGGAGAAAGGCATGCACAATGTCTGCATGCTAATAATGACATAAAGCCGAATAAGAGAACCAGAAAGAGTAATTGCGCATACAAAGATCATGATGGAGTCGGCTGCTTCTCAGTGCAAATTTCTCTCAAATAGATTTGCTGTTAATGAAGTACTGATTCAGAGAAAGAGACTTAGTAAGACATCAAGGGCCTTAAAATGTCTGGACAAGCTGCCAGATGAAGCTTTTTCTCCTCCCTATTTTTACAGTCTTTGTTGCTGAAAAATCGTTTCTGAGGTTGCTCTGCCAAAGTTATATTTAGTGTTTTGTTTTATATACACTTGAAAAAAAAAGCTTAAATCTCTCACAGCTTCTTTGAAGTTGAGCGTTAGAGCATACTATACGGATTCACAATGTATTTATTTCCACAAGTTTTTTCTGCCACCTTGTGGATGAATTTCTCAGTGCAACTGGTCTGCACGCAGAAGCAAACTTATGATTTTTACAAACTGCAAATATCAGCATTGATGCAGTTTTTTGTTTTTGTTTTGTTTTTGATTTACCAAACCCTCCAATCTCCAGGATGTACGAAATATTATTGTCTCGTCAGCAAACTCTGAGAATTAAATTGTACTCATAAGCAGTGGAACCGTAAATGAAGCTATAACACACGTATATTCTAGTAAGCCCATTTCAACTGGAACAGGGAGCAACTGAAAGTAACACTTTTCTTACTGTGTGTATGCACAGGCGAACGTATTTAATGCTCCACGCTTGAGTAAAAGCTTGACCTCTTCTCTTCCATTTTCTTGTGTTTTGATTCCAAGGGAACACTTTACCCCTCTATACAACCATTAAGATGCAAATTACAAACAATATTTCCAGTTGCATGGCAAGTGTTAGTGTTGGGTGGTGGGGTACACGATGCACCAGTTAAATTTAACTCCCTCGTTAAATGCCCTTAATGGCGCGATAAGTAATATTGAAGAAGATGAATATGAATGTGAAGCCCGCTGGTACGACAGGCGAATGATTTTCTTCTCTTCAGCATAACAGAGCCTCACCTTCTCGTCATCCTCAGTAAATGGGGTGCCGATTGGATTTTTGTTAATAGCTTGTACAACACCTATGACTTCTCCATCACTGTTGCAGATGGCCATACAGAGGATGGACTGAGTCTTGTACCCGGTCAGCTTGTCAATCTCATCACTGAAGCGGTGATCCTGGAATTGTGGTCATATAAACATACAGGCTATTACATATTTATTGACAGGAGTCCACATTAAAAAAAACACACACACACATCCCAGCTCTACATTCCTTCACCATATGCGCGTTTGTCTCGTAAAGCCTCCGCAGCGTTTAGGTCTGACTCCTGGGCTTGTAAATTTGAGTCTCTTTTGGATGAAACTGTTTTTACTATAAGCAGAGAGACTCTTGTACCCCTCACTGACACGTACCTATGCTGCTGGAGTAGTAGATCGCAGGAGGATAGCCTACATCATCAAGTTTCCTTAGTTTCCCAAGCAGCCCAGGGCGATGATATAATGATGTGGTGCTCAAGTCTAGCATATAATACCAGATTTGGTTTGTGGAAAAAAATATATATAGTGATTGGTTTTCCTTTTCTTTGACTATTGTATTTTTTGTATCCAAAAGAACCTGCATTTCGTATTCGGAACAACGTGCGCAGTTGAAGTTCTCAGGAGTGGGATAGTTTTGCCAACACCTGAATACCTCTGCTAGCAAAAAGTCCCATTACTTTAAAGAAGACACACATTTGTGGATGCTTTTAACTTGGGAATGTAGCTGAAGGTGGACCTGAAACCTGATGTGTATTGCAGAATTTTTTCTTTTACTACTACAAAACTCGGGTCCAATACCCGACATCATCATGGACTGATATCAGCCAGCTTAAATGGACGCACATAAATTAAGAATACAAATTCTAATGATCATAACGGTGTACACTTTACCTCATATGCGTTTGAGATGTTTACAGTCTCCCCGTGCTCTGCCACATATCCAATGATACCTTTCCCCCATGGCACTTGCACTTCATTGGAGTTAAGAGTGCTAGATGATGGTCTGACTGTGGTGCCTGAGTGCACATCAAAGAACTTGGAAACCAGAGTCCTCTTGTGAGGGGGTCCTTCAACGAGGAAAAGCGAACACCTGTCTGCGTCCACAAGAATGCAGACATTGATCAGGATCTTATAACTCAGATTTGTTAAGTCCAACTCGTTGGAGATATCTTTCACGAGCTCTAAGAAAAACTCCCTCTCGTTGGTTTCTTTAAGTCTGTATTTATAGTCAATGGCGCTGGATGCGTACTGAGGCACATTGACCCTGGACTCCAGCAGGGCGCTCAGGATGTGCGCGGTAGTCGGAGGCAGTGAACTGGCTTTACGCAGGAGCGCACGGCGCCTCATGCTGGACTGGGACTCGTGTTCGCTCAAGCTCACATGCTCGTCGTATGTCCAGTGTGCAGTGGTGGCTTTGGACCGAGCAAAGTTCCGTCGCAGCTCCATGTGGGACGATCTGCGCCGGAGTCCGTCAGCACTGGTCGGCCACAGTGGGTCCATAGCAGCGCCCCGCTTCTCCTCGACAGAGGACACTTTCGACGGCTGATGCTCCTTCAACCACCTGCTAACCTGGTCACATTTGGCTTTCCGAACGAGATACTCCTCGAACAGATCCGGGTGGCAATCCAAAAACGCCTCTATATCCGAGAAGTCAAACGCTGTCATAGTGAAAGCAGCTGTGAAGACCAAATGAGATTCTTAAATGTAACAGAGCAGGAGTTAGATGGGAGTGAGGGAGTGAGGTAGCTACATTCGAGCTTCACAGAGAAGTGATGATCTCAAAACATTTTTATATGCATTCCTAGTATGACCCAGTATAGTTCCCCTTGTTCTCCCCCAAAATACAGGCAGCAGAAGTGGTCAAATAAATTCACTTTTCACAAGAGACGAGCTATACAGCTGTCCGTCAAACGAGAGATTGAGCTGTTTCTCTGGGGATTTCTGTGGAATAGTATGCAGAGGTGTGGAAAAACACAGCGCCCACATTCTCCCCAGCAATGAATAAAAGAAAAAAGAAAAGACAACTGCAGGGCAGTGTCTTTAGCGCCTCTCTTTATTCTATACCACCAGAGACACTCAGCTCACCATAAAGTCAGTGATGTTTCAGTTACATTTACAGGCAAAACGCTGTTTTTAATGTTCATTTAAATAATGAAGCTGTTTGAACAGATGGCCAAAGTAAACATGCACATTGTATTTTAAATGTGAATTGTAGATAGATAGATAGATAGATAGATAGATAGATAGATAGATAGATAGATAGATAGATAGAGCTCTGACTTGCTTCATGAACAGCTCTGAATAACTCAAGGGCACTTGCCTCCCAGCTAACAGAATGTGACTGAATAGTTGGAGAATGAAATGAAAACATTTAAATAAAATCTGTTAATTTACCACATTTTTTCCCCAAGCAACTCTATGCAAATGAGGAAA